AAGTATGCATTCCCTTTAAGAAGATAACAGGTTTACTTTAAGAGCATGCAACAAACACTTGACTGAACAGAGCTAATGCTATAAACTATGAGAATTGACTTACCTCTTTGGAAGTGTGGTTTCCCAAAACAGCAGCTCCAAACTTGCCTTGTTTGACATACTGCCCATTCACACTGAAAATACAAAAAAGGAACATATAAATGTCCAATCCAAAGTTGGCAACCTCGGCACCACAGCTGTTGTGGAACCACGAGTGCCATGAGGCATTGCAATACTCTGACAGCCACAGGCATGATAGCAGAAACATGATGGTATTCGTAGATTCATCACAGCTGGAGTGTCGAGGTTGCCTATCCCTTTTCTAGTCTACGAGGACTACGACCAGTCAATGTGAGGGGGGGAAACAAAGAGGAATGCAGCTTGTACGGTGCTGTTTTCAATCAATAAAAAGGCTTGACAAATTATAATTGTAATATTTATGTTCGCTAACTAAATACAACTATAACGAAGTGAAATAAAAAAGAATTATGGGGAGAGTGAAATGCGCTAAGGGGAGACAGAAGGTCATCCCCATAGTTAGAGCTGACGTGTGACACTGAAGCGTTCACATGTCCCCTCTATTGATCAAGAAATGAGTAATCACAAACCATTGATCGCTCAGTTCACAATCTTCTCCCTGCAGAGAGCAGATGAGATGATATTCACAAGTGATGCTCAAATTTAAAGGGGACCTTTACACTCAGAAATCTAATTCTACCAATGCATCCCTCTATGTATGATGATGAATAATAACATAGACATGTCAGGTATAAAATGCTGTGATTTTGAAATACTTACACTTGCAGAGCATTCACTTCATGCTTTGGAAGTGCAAAATGACTTCAGTTTGCCAAAGCAATGCACACTGGGATTGCCTTGTCATCAGCAGAGCATTGCTGGAAAATCTCATGAGATCTCAGGAAAAGGCAATTTTCCTCCCCAGAGATGATGTGCATGGTCACATGTCCTAGTCACATGTGCCAGTAATCCCGGAAGTAATAGGAGAGCTAGTATTCTGCCCTTAGTAAACATGGCCACTATCAGAAGATTGGGGAAGAAAAGAGAAATAAGGTATGGAAAGAATACAAATCCAGCAATGATCTAGGAGTACCCATTTGTAGATTGTCATTACTAAACATTTCTAAAGGCGTGTTTGTTATTTTAAAGATATGGGTAAAGGTCCGCTTTAAGAGTATTTACTGCTTATGTCAGGCAGTCTATGGTCAGCCTTACGTGGGATAAATAGCCTGAAAATGTTGTTGTTTAACAAAAAAGGTAATAAGATACTAACGGCAAAGAAAACCTGAAGTTTAAAAGGGAACTTCCACCTTTTAAAAAAATTAAAAAATAACAAACTTACACACCTTTATAAAAGAAAAAAAAAATGATGATTTTTTGTTTGCATAGGAGCCAGTAAAGCATTGCAATCCTGATCAGTGATCGCAGGTGCAATGCTCTGGCTTCTGCAGACTCTTCCTCCCGTCCAAGTCCATACCGTGGTACAGACATTCAGTATCATGGAATGGGTAAAAGTGTCAATGGACTACAAGTGTCGTAACATCACTGCACTTGTTTTCCACTGAGAATTACAATTGCCTCTGCGCACGCATGGCAGATGATGGGGCTTTTAGCTCCCCCATTCACAGATCCTGTCAAAGAATCTGGGAATGGATGATGCGGTTGTGTGAGTGGAACCACGAACAGCCGCACAAAATTCAAAAAGGTAAACAAGTCTGCGGGGAGAAAAAGCCCACGATTCAGGTAAGTGGAGGGTGGGAGGCATGATGTTGCTATCCGACTACCTAAACATAGACAGAAAAGGTGCACTTTGCTTTTAAAGCTTGCTGATTTGCTGACAGAGATATGCAGGCACAAAAGAAGAAAAAACTTACTATTTATAAGCATGCACTGCTGTGGCAGAAATGAGAGAGGGTACAGGGCCTGCAGGAGGCGCTCCGGCTGGTTTGGGAGACTTCACACCTGGCAAAAGAAAAAAGAGCTCTGAACATTCCGGATATAAGTTTGGGAAACCAGTGTTGCTGCCTCCCTTCCTGTCACCACCACCCCCTGCTGTTCCCCACAATCACTTCAAATCTCAGATTGGGGGACCCCTCCCAAATCCTAAGGCATTGCTTCTCACCTGCTGACCCATGCTTCTTAGGCTGCTTAGGTGCCGTGTACTGAAAAGACTCATTCCCCTGGGCAGTTCCTGTCTGATCCATTCCAAAGAGAGAGGCCAGTTTCGCCCTGAAAAAAAAAAGAACATACACACGGATTCACACCACATCCACTACATTTGGCTTGCGCCGACATCCAATCATTTAACAAACTGCATTGTGTTGATGTGCATACTTTTAAAGTTGAACTCCAGGCACAAAAACTCTTATTCAAATATATTCCTCTATAGCCACCTTGCTATTACAACATAAAAGTAGCAGGGACAGTATCACTGTGATACACATAGCCTGTGCACAGAGCAGAGCTGTGGCAGGGACCCAGCAGGCTCCACCTATTACAGTTGGCCTGCAGAAAACAGGAAGGGGCGTAGACAAGACCAGTCACCCTGCACAAGGAGAGAGTGCAGCAATGACTGGTCTTTATTACAGGAAGCTCGTGTACAGAGGCAAAGTGTCACACTGGATTACTGCCCAGATATGGAAGAAATACACCAAGCTCAAGATTCAAGTATTACACATCTCTCCTGCATTTAGACAATATTTGCATTATCCTCGAGTTCAGCTCTAATGTGGTGCATTAGAGCTGAACTCATTATTTTTCATTCCTCAAAAGGAGAACTATGAGGTGAGTGCTTTTCACTCACCTCATAGTTCTAGCCGACCTGTGACAATGAGACTGTCACAGGTCGGCTCAGTAGATCGGAAGGTGAGCGAACACATACCGGCTTCCGCTCACTTCTCGATCCTGTCACGGCTCTCTGCCGTGACAGGGGAGGGGCTGGATTCACCCCTCCCCGCTCCGCCAGCGCTGACTGGCGGATCGGACGGGGGAGGGGGCGGGTACAGCTGGCTCTGCCTCTAGATAGGCAGAGCCAGCTGTCACTCACGCAGCTGGGCAGATCCAGACATAATTGTCGGGATCCGCTTCAGCTGCGGTGTCTCAGTATACCGCGAGCAGTTGCTCGCGGTATACTGAGCTTAGGGTGACGGGAGGACGCTAGTTTGTGTCCTCCCGTTACCCTAAAGAGAACTATGGGGAAAAGCCTTAACCCCGTAGTTCTCCTTTAATGTGCGTTGCAGCATGCTGCGATGGGTGGTACCATGTTGCAGTGCGCAGTGCAGTGTTTAAATACTTTTTTCCGTTTTGGACAAATTCAGTGAAATAAATCCTCAAGGGGCCAGGTCTACTGAGGGCCCCACCTGCAGATTATAGCACTTTGGTAAAGAACATTATGGTAACAATTGCAACTAACACTCTGCATTTACTGAAGTATTCAGCTTCAAAATAACAGTTCACAGAAGAAACAGCATTCATTCAATGGACATTTTTGAACCAGAGGGAAAGGAGGAGTGAGAAGGCCTTGCGGGGCCCAAAAACACAAGCCTGACAAGACGGCTCTAAAGGGAGGGAGAAGGCGCTAGATCATTCTACGTTTCTTGTTACTATAACCTTCCTAAAAGCAGCACTAGTGCTCCCCGAAATATGGAGAGATCAGAAACACTCAGTGCCTGAGTGACCCATCACTAGACCTAACCTCTGGAAATGTGGAACTGTACTAACAAGAATACAGTAATACCTTGGTTTACGAGCATAATTCGTTCCGGAAGCATGCTTGTAATCCAAAGCGCTTGTATATCAAAGCGAATTTCCCCATAGGAAATAATGGAAATTCAGATGATTGGTTCCACAACCCAAAAATATTCATATACAAATGATTACAATGCTGTACTGTAATATAATACTGTACAAAATATAAGGAAAAATAAACCAATTACCGGTACCTTCGTGGCTGGTGTGAGGGGGACAAGAGAGAGGAGGATTATTGTGTAGGACGACTTTCACTATCACTAACGGAATCACTGCTCTCTCTTGACTCAATGGAATCTTTTTCATTTCGTGAAACCTTAACAAGGAATCTATCCAATGTGACATTGCATTGTCCTTAAACAGACTCATCGCTCGCACTGCTACAGCCTTATTCGCGTGGTGCTTTTCTACAGAATTTTGCTCTTATTGCAAGACATCGCTTGTATATCAAGGCAACATTTTTCAGAAATGTTTGCTTGTCTTGCAAAACGCTCTCAAACCAAGTTACTTGTAAACCAAGGTATTACTGTATCTCCGGGAAAACCATAAAACTCCCCTTGAAGTGGGGCTGCCCCTGCACTACTTGCTGCACCTGCACCCGGCTTCTTCTGGGCTGCTAGACCAGTCCTCGCAGCCTCTTCTCCCCTTCGCTCTGGCGGTTTAGTGACTTTTGACGTCACAATATTTAATTCACGTTCCAGACCTGCATTAGACGTGAGGATGCCAAGGGACATTCTATCAACTGGAGGGGGAGAGAGGTGATAGCCAATTGTCAGAGGAGCAGGGATCAGGTAACTAAAAGTGCTTTACTGCGGTCCTCCTGGCATGAGCAAGCAATTATCCCTTACAATGCAGGGGTAGCCCCACTGTAAGGGTAGGGTTTTTGGTTTGCCTTGACACGGGCATTAAAGTGACATTAAAAAGTCAAATTTTTTTCCCTCCCCCCAATGTTAATCAAAGCACTTACCTTAAATGATGTCTCTTAATCCGATCTTCTTTCCCGTCCTTTTCAGCCTTCTCTCCAGCGCTGCGGCAAAATCTCCGATCCAGCGCTGACCCCTCTGTCCTTGCTGGCACTTCCTGTCAAAACGGTGTCTGCATGCGGGTGTACGCGTCCATAGACTAACCTTGCGTCTCTCCTCGTCTCCCGGCCGAAAATCCGAACTGCGCATGCGCCTGCCCCAAGATGCTTTGCGGCCGCCTGAGCAGTTTTGGATTTTCAGACAGGAGCGTGCGGCGAAGACAGGGGTAAGTTTAAAAGTTTTAAAGCATTTTTTTTTTTTACTTTTTGCATACATCTACTGCTTGCTAGCAGTAGATACTGTATATGCAAAAAAAAACGTGCGGGTTTAGAAACCCTTTAATGTACCCACTAGTTTTAGAGCTGGGTGACAATCTCAGGCCTTCGAGAAGGTCGCAAAACTGCTATATGGCAAAAGTGTTAGCCAGGTTTTAAAATCTACACATACATATAAACAGACATATACAATGATTGCGTTTACCATTCTTTACATGCAAGTCTATCATTCTGCTCAGACTGACTATAAACAACAGGTTTACTAGATGCCTTATGTCAGCAATTGTTTATTGCTCAACAGCTAATCCAGGGAATACCTAAAACTTTGTAAATTAAATATAATATTGTATAAAAAGAACTGCAAACAATATACATACTATATGGTAATAATATATATCAGACTCTGTTAAATAAGTCAGAGAAAGCTAGGTTTAGTTTAAACACACATGCACAGACAAACAGATGAGCACCAGTACACAGCTAAACCTGGCGCGAACCCCTTTTTCAGTGACCTCTCGTTGCTACAGCCTATAGTGTCCCAGCTTTACTTTCTGTTATCAAGCAGCAAACTGACCCGTGGACCTCCTGCCAGAGGTAATCGCTCCTCCACATCCAGGACATCTTGTTTGGAAGTCTCCGTTACCTCCTCTCCAGTGTTCTGATGACACAAAGCGGTCATGTATCTTGACACACGTATGTGAAATCTATCACTTCTCTGCCATAAGAGCCGCACATTGAAAACACACACAACAGCAAACAGGCATCTCCTTGACCCGTCCGTGCAGCAGAGGTTTGTGAAATGGGTAGAATGTCTGGCTTTCCATGTGCATGTTAACTGCAATAATACAGATCATCTGATACTTGTTAGTGCAAATATGAGAAGCCAACTATCCACTTCCTCAGCCTTGTCCTTTGCCTCCACACTGAGGGCATTCAAACAACACAAATCACCCTGGATTCAGAACAGGACCCGTCATTGGAGCACAGAGCAAAATGCATGAATAATTAAAGGCTTGACCTTGTTAGGAGCTAAAACAAAGATTCGCTTTTTATGCAGGAAGTCAACTTTAACAGATATAATCCGCGCAATGCAAGTGTACACGTTCCATTAATACTAAGGAATCATTTTACAAAGGCTGCTCAGTGATGTCACTGGTCTATAGAGAATGGATAGGCTGCATTCTCAGTGATGTCACCCGTCTCTAGTGAAAGGATAGGATGCACTCTCAGTGATGTCACCGGTCTCTAGTGAAAGGATAGGCTGCATTCTCAATGATGCCACCGGTCTCTAGTGAATGGATAGGCTGCATTTTCAATGATGTCACTGGTCTCTAGTGAATGGATAGGCTGCATTCTCAATGATGCCACCAGTCTCTAGTGAATGGATAGGCAGCATTCTCAGTGATGTCACTGGTCTGCAGTAATTGGATAGGTTGTTTTCTCAGTGAATATAACACTGGTTTCTATTGAATTGAAAGCTCAGCCGTTGGTTTGATTGGTGCAATTTAAAATGATCTGTAGGTCCCAAAACATGGGTAATGTTTGACCTCTGCTTATCTATGCCAAGCAGCATGAGCAAGCATTACAAGCAATTGCCAAGCGTTGAAGGGTTTCTGGAACATTTTAAAAGCAGCTATTAGCGCTACTCCAGTTTTGTTGACTATAGATTTCGATGGAAGTGCTGACTATCTTTTTAAACAAGTTTCTGGCAGGCCTTTGTGGGCTTTATCAAGCTTCAAGCTTGCCAAACGTTTTTAAACATGCAAATGTTTTTTGAAGGGAGAACTGCTTAGAATGCGTACGCAAACCCTAACGAAAAGTTCCTCTTATTTGCTCTCGTAAATATACCACTGAAGTGCTTGTTATATGTGCTTGATAAATTCAAACAATACCTATTAATTGTGCCAGGAATCCTGAGAGCTGAAAACTTCCTGTGCTCTCTGCCTGTGCTTACTGCTATTATTACACTGTTCTCAGCTATCTCTGATCACTAGAAAACCCCATCCCTCTAGGTCATAAATATTAGGAAGGGGCTGGGATTCCATAGTCCTATCCCATTTCTGTTGTGCCGATACAGAAAGGGGAGTGTTGTCATCCAAAAACAGGAAGTGTGTTACTGACACAATCAACAGGTAAAAAAACAACACAAGGAAAGAAGCCTGAAAAAAGAAAACTAATGCAGCCCCCACATCTGAGGACTACTAAGCTGCTATAATATATGAAAGGTTTGTTTTACGTTTTTGAAGTGTACACCCTCTCATTTACAATAAAGAAAAAAAAATATCAAGACAACAGGGTTCTATAGCTAAAACGTTTCATTGTTGTTTTTTTAGCATTAGAACTCCTGTCAGGTTTTAGTTCTGTTACAAGCCGCAGGTGTTAAAAGTAGCAGGGGCATTGTAACATTGCTGTATATAGGCTGTGCAGAGAGCAGAGGGAGGGACCCAGCAAACCCCACCCGCCACAGGCTGCTTGCAGAAAACTACAGCAGGGGGCGGAGACAAGACCAGTCACCCTGCACAAGGAGACAGAGCAGCACTGACTGGTCTTTATTACAGGAAGCTCCTGAACAGAGGCAAAGTTTTGGACTGGAGTCCTGCACAAATCTGGAAGGAATACACTAAGAACACTGAGAAGATTCAAGTAAGAATACACATGCCCGAGTCTCTGTGCTGTGATCTCCAAGGAATGCAGTCAGATCATGGTTGGTGTAAGTGGCTGTATATAGCTTCCTGAAAACCACAGACCACCCAGGTATCACCCACACATGATGAGGACCCTCAATGATTAAAATAACTGAAACCCAATGAATACCGGGTAAAAGGCATGTGCCAGGGACAGTAAATCTAGGGAGGGAAGGAGCTGGATGATGCTGGATGTCTTCCAACTAGCAACCAAAGGTGGGCTCTACATGACTTGCTGCAGCTTCTAATGCACATTGTGAGAAGCTTACAGTGTGCCGCGAAATCAGGAGGCAATTTTGAGCACAGGAGAGGAGCCGGTACAACTGTGCAAGACAGTATGTAAGGGTGGAGTTCAGCTTTAAGTGAACAGTTTCTACTCCCGTAGTAAATAAAACCCAGCATGTGTTCACACCAAATGCAGACCAGATCTGCATGAGTTTCTGCACACGCAGTGCAGTGTGTTTTGCAGCGTTTTTTGCTGCGTCAGTGTTAATGAAGCCTTAAAGCAGAATTGAAGTTCATTCTTTTTTTTGGTATATATCTACTGCTAGCAAACATGATTTAAAAAAAAGGAAAATATCTAATTACTTACCTGTTCCAGCGCCGCTCGCTTCCGGCTCCCAAACAGCTGTGAAGGAAGAAGTGTGTGGGCGCATGCACAGTAGAGCGGAGGGGAGAAAAGAGAAAACTAACGTGAATGGATGCAGCCCGGCAGCTGGGAGCGCACATGCTGGACAGACACCGCGGGACACGAGTAGTCTGCTCTGGATCAGAGACCAGCACCAGCACTGGAGGGACTGTCGGAAACAAGTGGAAGGAAGAAGATGATTGGATCAAGAGGCATCAAATAAGGTAAGTCCTGACAGCAGCATGGGGGGGGCGGGGGAGCCTTTAATGGCGACACGTTACATTCTCTTTTAGGTCTACCAACAACTATGTAGTGCAAGAGTCACAAATTGATTGGATAGATTTGGTAGGTCCTCATATCTGATACATTTAAAATTGATTGTACTGAGATTGTATAGTCAGATTATAACATGTATGGTGGACACATGGAGAGAATGGGAAGGCAGTTGTCCTACGCAAGATATGCCTGTCCCCAAAGAAAACATATGCCGCCGCTGCATGCATCTCCTCTGATTCAGCCAATGTACGCATGAAGAACTTGAGGGGTTAAGGGGTCTTCTCCCTTTCTACAGGAAAATGGTCAGGATTGGTCATTGGTGGCATCAACTCAGCAATACATTGGGAAATCTCTCCATTTGACAACAAGCACTTCCAAACTTGGGAGTTCTCATGACCGTTTAGTAGTCTCTATGAAGCCCCACTGACACGCCCTGTGTATCTTTCCCCCTTTATCTTAGTGGAAATGGAGCCTCAGGAGTTGCTAAAGCAAAAGAACAAATGACAGCCAAATAGGAATGTGATCATGAGTGACGGTTTAGAAAGCACACGTGGAGGACACGACTAATCCAAAACCTTTTTATGAGGAACAATCACCAACTTCTGCTTTTCCCCTCCGGGCCTGTTCATACTTCCTCCTGACTTACACAAAGATGATCCTTTGACACTCAAGGATTTAGAATGATACAACTGGGTATATGCTAATGGATTCTCCCCTTTGATGCCACTCATGCACACACTACCAGCAGTAATAAAAAATGAAGTGGTTCAGAAATAAAGGATTGGCGGGTTCAGACAGATCCCGAGTCTGCGGATCACAGAGATCTGCCTGTGACTGACAGTTTATACAGGTTTCTTCATCTGGGAATCTGCAAAGGGCAATGGTGCGCCATTAGTAGATTCATTGTGGCCAGTAGGTCACTGGACAGCATGGCCAGGACACAGACAATAGACACACCTAACGGGATCTGCAGCCCTACAGATATGGAATAGAAACACCAGGAGTGGCAACACAAAAGGAAATAGACAACCGCGCTGGGGCTCCGGCTGCCCCGGCCACCGGACAACCACACTGGGGCTCCGGCTGCCCCGGCCACCGGACAACCACACTGGGGCTCCGGCTGCCCCGGCCACCGGACAACCAACGGTCACAGGACAGTAACGCTGGGACTCGTGGCGCACCGGTCACAGGACAGTAACGCTGGGACGTGGCGCACCGGTCACAGGACAGTAACGCTGGGACCTGTGGTGCCCCGGTCACTGGACAGTAACTGAGTCTTATACTTTCCCATCACGTGCATTACATACACAATACTTCCTACTGACAGCTGTCAGTCAGGTCCTTCCCTCTCCCCCAAGGCTCACTTACCCCCCTGTGGGTGACAGGAAGTCAGCATCGTCCTCGTCCGGCCCGAACATGGTAGTCCACAGTTGTGGTGTGACCCCACACAGTCTCCCGACAGTCAACTCTTCCGGGCTGCTTCTCAGTCACGGGGCTGTCAGCTGACCTCCCTCCCCGCCGTAAAAAGCCGGCTGCTGCCGCAAACATGTGACCAGGGCCAGCAACGTGGCGCCTGACTCCGGCCAACTTCCGTGCGTTCCACGCCTCTTTGCAGCGACCAATCGGTGTAAACCCTTAACGGTGTAAATTTGAGTGGGCGTGATCTGGCTCCGAGGCTTCATTGAGGGGGATGGTGATCTCCGCTCCACGATTAAGCGAGGGGGCGGGTCCTGGGCAGGCGGATGTGTCTGTCAGGAGGAGTGACTGTGTGTGGAGAGCTCCGAGGTGACATCGGGCAGAGAGCGGCTGGGAACATCTAGGTGAGTGCAATGGCTGTGTGCAGTGTTGGGGGTGACACCAGTAGCTCAGCTCGTCCTTGGCATCAGTTTTCAGCAGGGACCTGTCCTTTATATAATGCCATGTACAGTGACTGTAGTTGCCGGTCACTTTTTTTTTTATTTCCAATGTGTCATCTCTCTTCTTTTCCCAAAGTGTCCCACAAAACTTTCATCTGCAATGCTTGTTAATGGACAGACAGCCCTCACCCGATGTCTAATGTCCCTCCGCCATTGTATACAAGTGGGCAGACGCTGTCCTGATTTTGGGTGGAAGCCAATTACGTAAGTGTCATGTGACAAGCATGCAGCCAGTGAAGTCAGACCTTCAGAACTGCATTCGTGTGGTTTGTCAGAGTCTCAGAATAATGCTGAAATATTTGAGTCAGCATGACAGCCAGGCGTTAAGCATTTTCTGAAGTAGACGAGCAATGGCAGCCTGGGTATTTCTGCGTGCACATGGTTCCTTTACGTACATCATTGCATTCATGTACAATGATGATGATAATAAAGGGGAACGTAAGATACCCAGATCAGTGAGTTCCGTGACTGTTCTATGGATCAGGACAGGACAGAAAGTGATGGGAAATCTGTCACCGAAACAGGAAGTGAGGTGGGAGCTTTCAGTGGGGGACACCTGTCCTGAAAACAAATGTCACAAGGGGAATTCTTTCTGGAGCGATTTCCGCTCACCTCTTGTGATTCTGAACTAAAGGGAAATCCTGCTGGCAGGGACGAGGTTCTAACCCTCACCCACTGTGTACACAACTTGGCGCTGTCTACAGATGTTTCTGTGATATGTGGCTGGAGTGAGACAGAAGATGTGATAGATAATCAGCCTCTTGAAGAATAATGGCGGCTCTCACTCATCATGATCACTTCATTAACCTGCACCCAGTGATAATAGTCCGCACAGCGACCGCACACAATGTTGGCACCTAAAATCAAACATGTCAGCATTTAAAGGGTATTTCCACTTCTCCAGCCAATCTGGGATAACGCCTACTTTATACTTGTTACATGGTCCCATTTACAAAGCAAAATATTGGAAAATTGCCACTTACCCTTTTATTTGCTGAAAAATCTTATTCCCCGTTCTATGTAATATTGGTGGGGGGGGAGGGGGCTGGGGGGTTATTGTTCCGGTTCCGGTCCCCCAGCTGTCATTCCCCGGTAGCAGGAACCAGGGAAGAAGCTATTGAAGTGCAATCTGTGCTCCAATGTCTTCTTTGAAGTTGAAAGGTGGCACTAGGGGTCTAATAGACCCCTAATGTCACCCGAAATAGAACCTGTCACCACTAGTATGCTATCACATACGCGGCTTGTAAGCTCCCCTATTACCCTAAACACGCATGGGGTGCACCTACGTACGAAAGCGACGATTGCGCTACACATGTTCGGTATCGCCGCACACGCCAAAGAAAGAGAGCAATCATTCTAGGGCCAATATTCAGGGTTATCTCTAAACTGATGACCTGTACGGCTTTTAAAACATCGCCTATGGACAATTTGGGGTACCATATTTTGTTTCCGTTTAACGGACACACACCATTTTTAACCTTTGCATGTCGGGTATCTGTTTACTCGTCATAACCTCATCTTTTATCATTTAGAAAACAAAATGGGTATTATATTGTTTTTTTGGGGCACTAAAATTAACTTAAGTTTATTTTTTTACAAAAATGTTGGGTTTGATAAAGAGATGCGCTAATATTGTGCGACGTAAACATTTGCAACTAAGTAATTTTCACGCCTAAAATGTGGATTATAACCTGTGTGTAAAAAAACACAAAACCGCTTTAGCAGTGAAAGGATTAAAGGGTAAGTGTACTTTAGGATGAAGTGCCCAGAGCTAACCATTCCCACCCTCCCCCTCCACAGATCTGTATTTACAAAGATCTGATGGCCATCGTTGTTTGTTTACATCCAGCGCTGACAATCCTTTCTCTCCTGGCTACTCGGGCACATTGCAGCCCTGGGTGAGTCTCCGGAGCTCATCTACCTTCATCACCCGGCCGGCAGCTTGAAGCAAACCTCTTCACTCACAGTTTAAGTATGTATACGGAAGTATTGTGGTCCTGGCAGACAGCGCAGGAAAGTTGGTGACCTCATTTTTTTAATGTTGCAGATAAGTTATATCACTTGGTCACCAACTTGCCTCCAGCCTGTTAATAGATGAAGGTAAAAAAGCAAACTGATATGACCCTACTTTCTTCCTGCAAACATTCAGACTGAGGAAGAATGCAGAGAGAGGAAACAGAGGGTTCTTCACAAAGGGGTGAAGAGAATAGAGAAGACAGGAGAAGGGAACAATCTAGGACAACATAGCTGATCTGGAAAGTGAGCTGAATTGGAGAATTTTTCCACATCAGCTTTGTTGTCCTAGATTGTTCCCTTCTCCGGCCTTCTCCAAACTCTTCACCTTCTTGTGGATAACCCTGTCAATGTAACTTACCTCCTCCCCAGCCACATATACTTACCTTCCCTTTACTCCCTCATTGCTCTATTTGGCTGCTGGAGCGGAAGCCTTGTGTAAGCTTCAAGTCAAGACATGAGGGGAATTTATCAAAACTGGAGCAGAGAGAATCTGGAGCAGTTGCCCATAGTAACCAATCGGTTTCTTTTTTCAGTCTATTCAGTTAAGTTTTGAAAATGAAAGCTGATGGGTTACTATGGACAACTGCTCCAGATTCTGTCTGCTCCAGTTTTGATAAATCCCCTTCTTGGAGCTTACATAGGGCTGGGAACTCTCGCCCCCCCCCCCTTTCTTTTTTAAAGTCGATGGACTTGTATTGTTCGAAACTATGTAGGAGTCAGTCCAACAATCTATGAAGTAGCAGTTATAATGATGTGGCTTCTGCTGCTGCACATAACTTTCTCCATTGACCTTGACTACTTTTGTAGCATTGTGCTACATCAGATTGCATGAAATGTGATGACCTCTAATTTTGCTGCTAAAGCACCATTCCGGAACAACCTTCTGAGATTATATGTATTCCACCTCTTTTTATAAAGCTGGCCACATACTGCACACATTACGTATACAAATCTGGAGCAGTGTGTGGCCCTGCCGGCACCCCAATTCGACTTTTGTCAAAGAACCCGGTCTAAACAGTGACCGCAGCCAATCATTGTTCGGGTATTCTGACAGCGGCACACACACCACTGTCGGAATACAATAGCCTGATGGGGGGATTCCCTCATCCACACTTTTTGGTGTTAAAAGGGGAATCAAGTGTGACCAATAAGTGTATGGCCAGCTTTAGTGTCTGAAGCTGCCTGTCTCAACCAGGGTTACTCTACAGCAGTGGTGGCGAACTTATGGCACACGTGCCAGAGAGGGACCAGGTTCAGGGGCCTCGGTAGGCGATCCGTGCTGGTCACAATCGGGTAGCAGTGGCCTCTAAAACAGGCATATTAACACTCCTGCGAGAGCCGCAGCTGCCCACTCCCCAGAGAGCCGCAGCTGCCCACTCCCCAGAGAGCCGCAGCTGCCCACTCCCCCTGAGAGCGGCACGGCCCCCTTGAGGGCCCGTACAGTCCACCTCAAAGCCGCACAGCCCCCGAGAGCCACACAGCCCATCTGACAACTGTACAGCATCCATGAGAGCCTGCACAGCTCACCTGAAAGCCCACACAGCCCTCCAGTTGCCCTGGAGACATCAGGCCGCCACCCCGGCACAACAGAGTATGTAGCTTCATATTATTCTCCATTGCTGTATAATGTATTGCTGGGATATGTAGTCCTCTATAGTTGGTGGTATTCTGCATTGCTGTATAATGTATTGCTGGGATATATAGTCCTCTATAGCTGGTGGTATTCTGCATTGTAGTATAATGTATTGTTGGGATATGTAGTCCTCTATAGTTGGTGGTATTCTGCATTGTAGCATAATGTATTGTTGGGATATGTAGTCCTCTATAGATGGTGGTATTCTGCATTGTAGTATAATGTATTGTTGGGATATGTAGCCCTCTCTAGTTGGTGGTATTCTGCATTATAGTAAAATGTATTGTTGGAATATGTAGTCTTCTATAGCTGGTGGTATTCTGCATTATAGTAAAATGTATTGTTGGAATATGTAGTCTTCTATAGCTGGTGGTATTCTGCATTATAGTAAAATGTATTGTTGGAATATGTAGTCTTCTATAGCTGGTGGTATTCTGCATTATAGTAAAATGTATTGTTGGAATATGTAGTCTTCTATAGCTGGTGGTATTCTGCATTATAGTAAAATGTATTGTTGGAATATGTAGTCTTCTATAGCTGGTGGTATTCTGCATTATAGTAAAATGTATTGTTGGAATATGTAGTCTTCTATAGCTGGTGGTATTCTGCATTATAGTAAAATGTATTGTTGGAATATGTAGTCTTCTATAGCTGGTGGTATTCTGCATTATAGTAAAATGTATTGTTGGAATATGTAGTCTTCTATAGCTGGTGGTATTCTGCATTATAGTAAAATGTATTGTTGGAATATGTAGTCTTCTATAGCTGGTGGTATTCTGCATTATAGTAAAATGTATTGTTGGAATATGTAGTCTTCTATAGCTGGTGGTATTCTGCATTATAGTAAAATGTATTGTTGGAATATGTAGTCTTCTATAGCTGGTGGTATTCTGCATTATAGTAAAATGTATTGTTGGAATATGTAGTCTTCTATAGCTGGTGGTATTCTGCATTATAGTAAAATGTATTGTTGGAATATGTAGTCTTCTATAGCTGGTGGTATTCTGCATTATAGTAAAATGTATTGTTGGAATATGTAGTCTTCTATAGCTGGTGGTATTCTGCATTATAGTAAAATGTATTGTTGGAATATGTAGTCTTCTATAGCTGGTGGTATTCTGCATTGCTGTATAATGTATTGTTGGGATATGTAGCCCTCTCTAGTTGGTGGTATTCTGCATTGCTGTATATTATATTGCTTGGATTTGTAGTCCTCTATAGTTGGTATTCTGCATTATAGTAAAATGTATTGTTG